GTCTTCATTGAGTACTTAGGTGTATTGAATTGATAACATTTCAGACATTTCGATTTTAAAAATGTTCGATCCGTTTTAAATTCGAATTTGTTATTGCATATTGGTTCGATTATAGAACGATTGTAAACATTCCAGAAAATTGATCAAATTGAAAATAGTTCGTTTGATTCTCGGCAATTCTCTTCAGCGGTAGGTGTTATATGACAATTACTATGGTTATTGAAATATTGAATGTAAATGGGGTTTGCTTGCAAAACCTCCGCGGACGAAGTTGCGGGTAACAGCTAGTATCATATAAACTTATTAATATCGAGAGTTAAACTAATTATTTTGAAATTATAATAATATACTGCTGTATGAAAAAATAATAATAATCATGGAGCTTATCCATTTTATTCATCCAAGTTTTAAAAATTTAATGAGTTAACATAAAAAATTATTCATTTAAATAAAATTGTATAAGTATATAAAATTTCATATTTTTTCAATGTTTACGAGAAATAAATATAGGCCTACACAAAAAATAAAATTTTTAAAATATTTTTACTTTTTTAATTAATTAAGCTTTTCAAACGCTTTTAATTGGTTACATTTTTAATTAAAATTTGTTTTAATTTTAAATGAAAACTAAATAAAAACTTTAAAAAGTATTTGAAGCAAAATTTTCAAATAAACGATTTTGTCTGATGGAGTTTTTAGAAATTTTAAAATTAAATTCTTTTTCATTCTATTTACATTAGGAATTTAAAAATTAAATGGCATTTGTAAAGAGACTTCGACTTTATTTTTAAAAATTAAAAATTAAGGCAGCATCAGCTCAATTATTCAAGATATTATAGATTCTGACAAGTAAAGAATTTTTAGAATCTTGCCACAAATAGGCTACATATTGAATATTGACAATCTGTGACATTGCCATAACAAGCAAAAATTTAAAAAACTAATAAGCAGGCTTAAAATTAATAAATACAAATGTTTTCTTACAGTTTATACTTTCTATTTGCAAAATTTTCTCAATCTTAACACAAAATAAGAAAAAAGTGAACTTTTCTTATTTTGGATTGCCGTTAGAGAATCCCTAGTTGTTAAATTGTGAATGTACAGTATATGGGGGAAGATGCTAATTTTCTTATAATTCCACAATTTGCCAACATCGACAGCCACGCCCTGGTGCTCAAATTTCCTGAATCAGTTATGTTCTGAGAAACAAAAATGATCAATTTCTAAAGACATTTTAATATCTAGAAGCAAAAACTAGGAAACCACTCATTTTTTCATGGAAATGATTTTTTAAAAAAGTAAAACTGTTATAATAGTTAAATGTATTATAAAATAAGAAAATCTGTTAATATATGAGGTAGTTGTGACTCCAACTTTCCATTGTCAGCAACCACTGACCTTGAACCGCCGTGTTTGTTTAAATGATTCCATTTCTGCTACTGTTGGAGTATGATGCTTAGTGGAGTCATTTATACAATGACCGAACATTTAAACAAACTGAAAACTGAATTTAAAAAAAAACAAATTCATAAATTATATAAGGTCAATATCAATCTAAGTAACTAGGTATCTTACCCGACTGTTGGGGTAAAATGCCTAATTTTCATATAAGAAAGAAATCCATTATTGCCAAAACGGAACTTTATCTTTTGTTTTCTGTATCAAAACGTACTTTCAAAAGACCTTCCTCAATTTGATAATTTTATCCAAAACACAAATAAAGCTTATTTATTTACACCTGAAATTTTCATTAAAAGCAAATAGTGTGGCATCTTCCCGCTATTCGCAATAGTTGGTTGTAGCATAGCGACTGAACTAATGCTGAAAAGAAGAAACTGCGATCTATTGTGTTAGGCCTAGCGAGAGATCTAGTAAATAAAACAATTATTGTTTCCATTTGAGATGCTCACGTGGAAACAACAATTTCATTGTACAGGGGGTCAGACGTCAAACGGGACTCAACGAAGTATAACAGACCGCTTGGACCCGAATTGAATTGAAAACTTCAAGAGATAATCCTATTTAATATACTAAATTATGAGTGCACCAAGACCATGTATAAACAATAATATATTTTTGTGTATTTGCTTCTTTTAAAGGCACAAAGTTATAAGAAAAAAAAATAAGTTGCCTGTACTTAAACTCAATGTGTGAATTATTCGTATGAATGAAATATTATGTTTGTAGTGTTTTCATTTTATATTTTATTATTTTAGTCTTGTTTATTTTCAAATATTATTATTTTCTTAAAGTTTGTATACTTCGAGTCCAAATTACAGGTAATTGTAAATCACTTATCTCGAGTCCAAATTACAGGTAATTGTAAATCACTTATCTCGAGTCTATATTACAGGTAAAAGTTCTGAATCTTTATTTAATTATGACAATTCTATTAATTTTAATTTTGTATTATTATAAAATTAGTTCTAAATTTTTATTATTTGAAATGCCATTGTCAACAATAAAAAACAAAACAAAACAAAACAAATTACAAGATGGGAGAAGCGTTTTACTGTATGGACTACAAAAAATGTTTAATTCAGCTGAAATTTGTATTTAACACCAAAACCCTCCCTGTCTATTTGGGTTGCATAAATATGTCAATATATGAAAACATTTAAACGTTAGAAAGTCAGATTAATGGGATATTAGAAGTGTTAAGTTAAAAATGAAATATCTGTTGTGCTAAATAACGTCGTTAATTGTGTAAAAAACAAAAAAACAAAATAAAAAATCTCCGTCAATTCTGTCGTTCAGATTTTACTATATTAATTTTTTCATTTTATGTAATATTTAGCTTGAAAAATTTATTTCAGCAGTTGGTAATATACAAGCTACATGAACACTCTTGTAAACGTTATAAAATAAATTTATAATAAATTAGAATTATATGAAAAAAATTCAGTTGATTGAATAATATTTGCTCTGTTTAATAGAAAATTTATAATAGAGAATTAAAATACAGTAGAAATTATTTTAGAACAAAATGATGAAAGGGTAACATTAAAGATAAATAAATGTATTTTAAATTTAAAAGACAGAATTATAAAATCAATTTATTCTTCTATTTATTTATTAAAATAAATAAAAATGTACATGCATTTTAATTTATTTTACAAAATAGACAGAAAGTAAAACGATTATTTTCACTAATACAACTCTGACATAAAATTTGTTTTTCTTTTTCAGTTTTTATTTACTTTATTCATTATAGTTATTTAACTAATTCTGATTATAAAAGAAGTAATAATTAAATTTCTGTTACTGATTTTTAATAATAATATTATATATAAAAAATACTTTTCATTTTCATTATTTCTTAATTTAATTATTTTGCTAATTTATTTTAAACTAAATTATTTATATTAAAAAACAAAGTTTGAAATACTTTACAGCATGTAAACAGCATATTGTTTACTTAATACAACTTAATTTTTATTATCACATTGTGGCAGAACGTAAGATTAATTATTTAAATTAAACTTTAATTTAGAATGAAATAAAAATGCAATTTTATATGGAATTTATTCTAATATCGGTAATTTTCAGTGAAGAGCATAGATATATCAGATTACCAATTAACAGTTTAATTTTCGAATTTAATTTATTTAAATGATTATGAAACTTTCCATTCTAAGAAAAAGTTATTCCTGACTAATTTACTGTATTTCGCTTTACCAATTATAACGGTTGACCATCCAAATCAATTTTTTTTTTTTTGATAATTTAATATTTTTTCTAAATATGACAATTTTGGTTTTTTGTATTATATTTTGTTTTCAGTTATATAATATTCAAATAATTTATTTATTTTTAGTTATATAATATTCAAATAATTATTAAAAAATTAATTTTTCGTTGTAATGCTATTTTTGTTGGAGTAAATATAGCAAACTCCTCTGCATAAAGTAAATAATGTTATGTTTTATCAAATATTTGAATTCCATCCTTTCTATCTAAAAGCAAGTCATCCATGTCCAACATGCAGAAATTAAATAAATAAGGAGACAATGGATCACCCTGAGGGACGCTACGAGTTATTATGAATTCTGAAAATATTTGGTTGTCAAAACATAGTGCATTTAATTTTAAAATGCTTTATAAAAAATCCAGCAACGACTTACCTAAGTTTTCCGGCTGAAGATATTTTATTTAAAAATTAACTTTTATATTATTAACTATAATAAATAAAATCGTAGTATGTCGCCATTTGTTATGAGATTTATTTGAAAATTATAGTATTAATTATTATAAAATGACAAAAAGCTTAATTTTAAAGGTAGAGATGAGTTTTATGAAAAGAAATTATAAATGTCTATAACGATCCTTCTCAACATATGACATATGACTTCGCTCTATCTTCGCATTACCTCGACCTTTAATTACCAAAATTTAACATTATCAATGCCTATTATACTCAAGCTACCATGCCAAATGTTCTTTCTTGAACATTACTCCATTCTGAGAAATTAAACGAAATAGACGCCAAAACACACACATTCGCGGAATTTGTTTTCTTTTTTTTTATTTTATTTTTAAGTTTAGGTCGTCTTAAAATTTGGAATTTGCAAAAAATTCTAAGGGTCAAATTTGACACGATTCCAGTACTTTCCCGTTATGTACTGTACCGGGAAAGTAAAAAGCGAAAGTGAAAATAGTACAAACAGAAACAGTTACATTTAATTGCATCCTATTTTACCCTATTTTATGTTTAGTTAAATCTTTCCTACTAAAAATGTTCTGTTAAAAATTTAATATTTAAAATAATTACAAATTAAAAAATGCAAAATGAAACTACAAAGTTCTTATAACTTATTTAAAACAATAAAATAGTTTAAAAGAAGATTTTATTATTTACAATTGTAGGCTACTTTATATGGAAACTTTTAGTTTTCATTTAAAATGAAAGCGAAAATGCGAAACGGAAATGACGTCACTACACTTTGACGCTTAATAACACGCTAATTTTGCTTCAAATAAAAAATGTCACCGGACCGAAATTTTCATGTCTAAAACGTGAACGTTGAACGTTTAGCGCCGCCATCTTGTAAGCCTAGAAGTTTGACAATGGCATTGGCTGCGTTTCTTTATGCTGCGAGAGTGCAGCGTAAATGACGTCACGAGCAGCGATCGCTACACGTCGCTGCATCATAGTTTAGAAAGCTTTCCCCACGAGCGAAACATGGACGTCTTAATATATTCTCTGATTTCGATTACAGACGAAAGTAGTATTTTAGCTAAAGAATTACGACATAACAAAAAAAGAAAGTACGAAGAATTGAGCCTTGCTCTTTCCAAAAAAATGAACAGAACAAAAGAGACAGAAAATAGATAATTATGTAGAAGACGTAGTATTTTCTTATTCTTTGGATGACTTTCAAAGTCATTTTAGACTTTCAAGAAGTTCTACAGAAGTAAGTTTTACATTAAATATTTTTTCTAATAGGAAACAAAATGCTATAATTTATAAAATAGCCTATTTAGTTTTACATGTGTTATTCTGTAAGATTTTCTGAAAATTAAGTTTTTTAAATGAATCAAATTTTGATATTCGTTAAGTTAATCGAATTATAATTACATTTAAGTTTCGGAAATTAGTTAATAATATATTTTTTCTTATCAGCATAGTATAATGATACTGTACTTTGTTTAGTTAACATTCGTAAATTAAGTTTGTCTATTGTATGCACTATAATATTAATTACATGTTTCTGCCTGTTATTTTTTCTTGTTCATTAAATAAAACTTATCGTTTATATGTTTATTTTTATAGGAAGTTATAAAGTTGATAAATACAACAAGGAGTGAAAAAAAGATGGGTCGACCTGGTATTTCAACAAACAAAGAAGTGTTGTTAAGCATATGGACACTTGCTAATCAAGAGTCTTTCAGAGGCATTTCTGATAGATTTGGTTTAAGTAAAGGTCATGCTTACAGGAATTTTATGAATTTCTGTAATAAAATGTGTTCCATGTCAAGTAATTTTATTAAGTGGCCATCAAACAATTTGGACGACACCGTACACAAGTTTGAGCAATTACGGAAGATTCCATTGCCAGGTGTAATTGGATGTGTTGACGGAACACATATATTTATAAAGGCACCTAAAAAAGATAGCCAAAGTTATTTTAACAGAAAAGGAAGACATTCCATTTTGTTACAAATAATTTGTGATGCAGAAATGCAGATAATTGATGCTTTTGTTGGATGGCCTGGAAGTTCCAATGACTCTAGGGTGTGGAAACAAAGTCCAATATACAAATTATTACTGCAGGAACCATCAAAATATTTAGGAAACGATTATTATTTATTAGGTGATTCTGCATATCCTTTAGATACTTTTTTATTGGTACCATTTAAGGATTTTGGTAGTCTCACTATAAAACAAAAAACTTATAATAAAAGACACAGTTCTGTCAGAGTAGTTGTGGAACAAACTATAGGACTTTTGAAAGGACGTTTCCGCAGACTTAAATATTTAGACATGGAAAATATTGCAGCCATGTCTAAAGTGGTTATGACTGCATGCATTTTGCATAATTTATGCATTAAGAAAGGGGAAAAGGATATTCCAGAAGACATATTACTTGATAACTGTGATGATGATGATGATGGCGATAATTTTCCAGAAAACACACAAAATCGTGCAGCTGCCATTGAAAAACGAAACAGAATAGCAGATTTCTTGATGGAGAAATAATATATATTTTAAGTACATCATTTTGTATGAACTATACATATAAAATAAAATTTAAATTAGTTATATAATCTTGTATTTTTTTTGTATTGAATATAAGTACATTTTATTTTAACACATTACATTTGTTATATACAGGGTTCTGATGCACCTGGAAAGTGAGGATTTTCATTAGTGTTTGGAAAAAGTCATGGAAAGTAATTATAAGTAATTAAACCTATCATACAATTTGCCAAACAACACTAAACTGATAACAAATATTTTAGATGAAAGTTAACTTAAAAGAATGCTTTAAGTACATGTTTTCATCATCATAGGACAGCATATATCAATACAATTATAAACTTGATGCAATATGTTGATTAATAGCACTGAATTCAATTTTATTTCTATGATGGATTTTATAAAGTTCAGGAAATTTATTAAGAGAGAAATTTAATAAATATTTACTTTTGTACATGGATTATACAGGATTTGTTAATGAATAAAAAATAATGGCTTTTTATTTTTTTCAAAGCCACATAGATTTATGACTGTGGATTAATAACAGAATAAACTATTTTTAATTAAATAAAACTTATTCAACAATTATAAAAAGTCATATACTGTTTTATTTTATCAATGTGCTGTACTATGAGGGTCGGAATTTACAAAGTTGGTCGGGACGTCATGGAATTTAAAACAAACATTTGAGTAGGAACACTATATGCATGAAATTTGAAAAGTCAAACTTCCTTATAAAATTTTAAATTGATTAAATTTACATACTTGACAGACTATTTCAAAATTGAAAAGAATGCACTTCAAGACAAGGAAGGTGTTTCATGTAAGAGAAAAAATTTATTTGAAATATTCTAAGTGTCAGAAATATTTGCAGTGAACATAGGAAAATAATATGTTCAACTGTCAGTAATGTGTTTACTATTTATTAGATTAATTATCTGATGTTTGCCACACTTATTAAAAACGAAAACTAAATAAAAAATGTTTCTATGATAATTTGTTTGAATTTTCAGTTATCTCAAGATTCCTGTTTTTAAAATAAAAATAAATGATTTATAATACACAAATAATATAATTAACATTTTATTTAAAAATCGTAAACTAGTGAAATTATTCATTCATTTAATTAGTTTTTTTTAACTATATTTAATATTTCTTTTAAAATTTTTAATTTTTCATTTTCAATATCTTCTAATTTCTTCCACCTTTTTTCCTCTAATTCTTCCTGTTTTTTCATAAAATTTAAAAACCACTCTGGAGGCTCAGATGATGATTTTTTTTTCTTTCGTGGTGGTGATGAGGACGACGATGGAGGAGGAGGAGGTGGTGGTGATGACAATGGAGGTGATGGTGAAGGTGGTGGTGATGAAAGTGGCGGTGCTGGTACTGCTCTTTTTTCAAAAGTTGAAGCTAGCAGTGTTTCCGGAGGAGGACTAACATTGGCTTTTAAACCAAAGAAGTGGTCGAAATCTTCATGGAACTCCCAAAAAGGAAGTCGACCACTTCCAGATTTTCTCATCTGGTCTTTCCTCCTCCTATACGTTAAAATTAAATTTCGCCACTTCCGATCGCATTCAACTGCTCCTACATTGACACCTTCTTTTTTCAACTTAACACTTGCATCTCCCCATAGTTTGACTTTTTTACAATTCGGCTTCTCAAATAATGTGTCCATTTCTTTTCGAATTTCAATAATTTTTTTTACTGCAAATGATGTCCAAACATTTTCCTATGAAAAATGAAGTTTCATCAGCATATTTAAGTGTAAATTTTATAAAACTATTTTAAACATTACTGTTACTAAGTAAAAAGGCTACTTAGACATGTTATTCAATAACAAAAATATAAAGAATGTATTAGTTTTATTTAAAATATATAATTAAATACTTACAGAATCTGATTTGTTTTCTTTGTTATTTGTTAAAACTGAGTCTGTACTAGTATTTAAATCTGCAATTTAAAATAATACGATTACCTTTTTTCATCTATCCACCTTATAAGTTTTACTTAAACATATATTTATGTCTGATATTCTGAAATAACTTCTTAAATATAATTTAAACTATTTCATTTACATTTTATAAAATAGATTATATAATTTTAAAAAATATCTATTAAATTATCTAACCTTTATTTTCTGTGCTCTCATGGCTGGGAAACATTAACTTAAAATACTCTTCTTTAAAGGCATTGTCTGGAAAATATATAAATTATAATCAAATCTCACAATTAAAAATCTCGCTGGTTAATACGACATTATACATGAAAGCGTCCATTTTGCTTTAAACGTGTAACAAACGTAAAAGCTGCTTTATTTTCGCTGCAGCGACCTCTTACAGCAAACGTTTAGAAACGGTTCGCTACATTGCAGCGCTGCATTTAGAAACGGGTTTCAGAGTGTTCTCTATAAAGCGCTTCTCGAGCGCTGCATAAAGAAACGCAGCCATTTGGAACGTCATTAGAATCATGCTTGACGTTCCAAACGCCATTGTCAAACTTCTTGTTATAATATTTTATTTTATTTTATTTATATTTTAATATATTTATGTTTATAATAAATATAACAATTTTATATAAATATAAATAATAAAAAAAATCTTATAATTCTTCATGAAAATAGTCTTATTATTGTATTAGAATTTGAATAAACAAAAATATCTTATCTTTGAAAAATTTTATTTATTATTTTATTCATGAATTCATAAATATATTAAAAATAAAACCGAAATGTTAAAGTTCATAATATAAAATTACGGCAATTTAAAATTTATTATTATTTATGATAAAAGCCAATTTAATTTCTAGTTTTTATAGTAATTTGTTTTATATCTTTAAATAATTTCGTTCATTAAAGTCATCTTTAAATGTTTTGTATTACTTGTACTTGAATGCAATTGATAAGAAAAAAGAATATTTTCTTACATTACTTTCATTCAAATAACTTCATAAATAACTTTTGTGGTTTTATCATCAAGTGCATTTCATTGAATTACACTCAAGTTTACTTGTGTTCATAAAATATTGAAAGTAACTTTGCGATGATTGTAAAGGTTATAATAAATATTAATAGATAAGCTAAGAACACATTTTATTACAGNTAGTTTTATTTAAAATATATAATTAAATACTTACAGAATCTGATTTGTTTTCTTTGTTATTTGTTAAAACTGAGTCTGTACTAGTATTTAAATCTGCAATTTAAAATAATACGATTACCTTTTTTCATCTATCCACCTTATAAGTTTTACTTAAACATATATTTATGTCTGATATTCTGAAATAACTTCTTAAATATAATTTAAACTATTTCATTTACATTTTATAAAATAGATTATATAATTTTAAAAAATATCTATTAAATTATCTAACCTTTATTTTCTGTGCTCTCATGGCTGGGAAACATTAACTTAAAATACTCTTCTTTAAAGGCATTGTCTGGAAAATATATAAATTATAATCAAATCTCACAATTAAAAATCTCGCTGGTTAATACGACATTATACATGAAAGCGTCCATTTTGCTTTAAACGTGTAACAAACGTAAAAGCTGCTTTATTTTCGCTGCAGCGACCTCTTACAGCAAACGTTTAGAAACGGTTCGCTACATTGCAGCGCTGCATTTAGAAACGGGTTTCAGAGTGTTCTCTATAAAGCGCTTCTCGAGCGCTGCATAAAGAAACGCAGCCATTTGGAACGTCATTAGAATCATGCTTGACGTTCCAAACGCCATTGTCAAACTTCTTGTTATAACATTTTATTTTATTTTATTTATATTTTAATATATTTATGTTTATAATAAATATAACAATTTTATATAAATATAAATAATAAAAAAAATCTTATAATTCTTCATGAAAATAGTCTTATTATTGTATTAGAATTTGAATAAACAAAAATATCTTATCTTTGAAAAATTTTATTTATTATTTTATTCATGAATTCATAAATATATTAAAAATAAAACCGAAATGTTAAAGTTCATAATATAAAATTACGGCAATTTAAAATTTATTATTATTTATGATAAAAGCCAATTTAATTTCTAGTTTTTATAGTAATTTGTTTTATATCTTTAAATAATTTCGTTCATTAAAGTCATCTTTAAATGTTTTGTATTACTTGTACTTGAATGCAATTGATAAGAAAAAAGAATATTTTCTTACATTACTTTCATTCAAATAACTTCATAAATAACTTTTGTGGTTTTATCATCAAGTGCATTTCATTGAATTACACTCAAGTTTACTTGTGTTCATAAAATATTGAAAGTAACTTTGCGATGATTGTAAAGGTTATAATAAATATTAATAGATAAGCTAAGAACACATTTTATTACAGTTAGTTCGTTATTTGAACTGAGTTAAATATTATCAACTTGTTAATAAATTACTGTAGTTCCCATTAAATAATCTTATCAAATCAAATTTACATTTACATACTATTTTTTTATGGTGATTTCTCTTTTTAAATGAATTTGTAAAGTGCATTAATATTGAACCATTTCTTCAGGGAAATGGAGTTATGTATGCAAAACTAAAAACAAAATAAGAGAAAAAATATATATATCGAGTAAATTGAAAATATTACAAGCAGTTTTCAAGTTTATCATCAAATTTTAATCATTGAATTTAAAAACTTTCTTGACGCTTCTTCGCATACGAATCAAATGTAAATTGCAGCTATTATGCATAGTCTTATGTTATGTCCAATATACAGTGGATCTAACGAGAAAATCTTTAAATCGATATATTCTTGTTGGAGGATAGCCGCAAATAAGAATTTTGTTTAAAATTTTAACATTTTTTTTCAATAATTCTGTAAGACAAATTTCTCGCAATTGTTAGTCAAAATTTTCTTTTTTCCTGCAAAATTACATTTCTTATATAAAATATGTTTCATGTTTTTCTGTTTTGCTTAAAATTTTAGCTCTTAAATTTATATTCTTGAATATATCAATGAAATTTACATATATAATGCATGTTAAAAATAAGTAAAGACAGTTATCTTTACTTATTTTTTCTCAAACTACCTCAGCTCTTTTTCCATAGTTCATGAGTACTGCTAGCTGGATTCGGAAAATTACTTAAGATATAGTTGAATTAGTCCCACAGATGTTCAATTGGATTTAAATCTGAGGACTGAGGGAGTGAATCAAAAAGTTCAATATGCAACTACTGTTTTTTAGTGCATTTAGCCATATGTTTAGGATTTTTATCTTGTTAAAAATAATATTTTAATATTTTTTATTTTAATTTATTAATTTATACAACTAAAATATATCCAGCAAATCACCTTTTAAAATATTACAATGAAACTGAGAATTCATTCTATTATTAATTCGAACAGATTTTCATGTCCGTACGCTGTTACACAACCCCATACCATTAATGAATTCCCACCATCTTTCATAGTTAGTATCACATGATGGAACTGTAAATGTGATTTTTTTATTTTTCCAAAACCATTTGTGTCCATCACTTTCTAAATGGTTAATTTTTTTTTCATCTGAGAAAATTACACGTCTCCAATCATCCACAAGCCTAATTTTTATACTTCTCTGCAAATTTAAGTTTATGTTTCTTGTGCTTTTTAGTTAGTAAAGGGTTTTGCTTTAACAGCTGTTTTTTCTCCATTATGTTTCAACGTATTTCTAGCTGTTTGAGCATTAATTTTTAATCCATGATATTTTTCTGTCTTTTTTTAAACATAAACTTCAGATTCAGTTTCCTCTTCTCACAATTTTCCACTCAGACTGTATCTAGAGCTCTTGGTTGGTCAGGAAACGGTTTTTTTACATGTTTTAGACATACTTCCTGTGCTGACATCAATATGTGAGGCAATTTTTCTGACTGATTAACTATTGTTGTTTTTGGGGTTTAACATTGTGTCCATTTTATATTCTGCACATAATATATTTATTTTCTCTCCATTAACAAATTTTTATATCAGTCTAACGAAAACTTTTGTTTTTCGTGTTATATATTTATTGAGTTTGTTTCATTAAATTCCAACTAAATGCAAATACGAGAAAACTCTCTTTTAAAATAATATTAAAATTTNATTTTTAAAATGTTGCTGTGGAGTAGCGACATTTTAGCTGAGAGCGTTGTACGCTGTCAGTTCATTCTCCGGTTGCTTTACTCGCGCGCTTTTGGTTTCGCGTAACATCGCATGTCTATATCCAAAGGTTTCTACAAATGATCAGATAACAATGAATCACAGTTACATCGAATAACAAAATTTTAACAATGTATAAATTTTTCCGACAATTTTAACTTTTACATTTAAATTCTGTTACATTTTTCTTCTTTTTTTGATGTCTCGCAGGGAGGTATGGGTGTTTCCTCTGCGTTTCGTCAGATTCGTCTCCTTCAGGAGGGAAGGTTTTATTTTTTTTGTGCCGCGTTTACGAACATTTCGTGTTGTATTGGATCCGATTTGAACATTTAAATTACATTTGACGATACGCAAAAATTTTATGTTTTGTAGATCGAGCAATTTATACTAATCACAAAATTTCATTTCTTTCTGAAAAAACCAAAAGAGGGTTTAAAATCGAATATATTCGCGTTTCCTTTTAGATTCTTCGGAACACAAATAGGGATTCGATACTTAATTCAATCGGTCTGTCACACTCAGAATGTAAATGTAGAAGATACTTCACAGCTACATCTGACACACGTGGGCGTGTTGAGTGTAAGTCCGAAGATCACATGTCATCTGTGTGTGTTTGTCTTCCTTTCTCTCGAAGTTTTACAACAGAAAATTTTTTTCTACCTTTTTTTTTGAAATTTGGAGTGGACTACTCCATTTCCGTTCTAAATCGTAAGATGATGATGGGGTATCTGCACAGACGGTGGAAGTTTGTGTTTCCCATTTTCTCTGCAGACATACCTGTTTTCCAGATATCAATCTTCTGAACAAATGACAGTTCTCCGCCATCAGCATAGATGCGGATTACCACAAATCGAGGTCATGTAGTTCGAAGATGACGATTTCTTTGGATTGTTTCTTGAACCTTTTCTGATGACGATTTCAACCTTTCCTTTTTCGAATATCGTCATTTTCTTCCGAATCGGTTCTTTTGATGGTTGCTTTGGTTGTGACAGACAGTTGTTTTACACGCGTTTGAAAATGGGAGGGATAATTTTCCTCACATTTCGATTATATAAATTACTCAATCTGTGATGGATATTTGCGATCGCGTTTCTCTCGCGACAATTTTGGATTCGAAAAACACTTGTATGAACAGAAATTTCACATTCAAAGTTTACAAAGTTGACATTATTAATAGTTCGCGACATAAAACATATTTTTTTTTTTTTTTGCTACACAAAAAATCGTTTATGTACTAGTTGTTACTGACTCCTCTTCCTCGTGATAGTCTTGTTTGCTTGGTGATAGAGACTACCATTTACAATCTTTGAAGAGTCCGATTGGCGTAGGCGGCGGCAAGTGCTTATGACCCTGGCCTTGAGATAAAGCCTCGCTTTCTTCCGCGCCTGTAACCATTGCGTCGATCGGTAGTGTGATTTTTGATGAGGTCGGGAGAACCCACGGGTATTCATGTACAGGTCCCCGACTTCTAAGACCATAATTATGTGAAGGTTGCGCAACTGATGTTTGCGGGCTCGTTTCTGGCGTCTCTGTAGCATCTACCTGGCCTGGCTGGATTGATTCTAAAATAAAATCGTCCCAAGGATCTGTCGATATAGGTAATGGTTGTTCTGAAGTGGATGACTCGGAAATCTCTGCTTCGGACTTAGGTTCGTCCGTTGCAAAAGATCCGAATTCCATTCGTGCGAGCGCGGGCTTCATCCGGTTAGCGTGAGTGTGCATCTTCTTCCCATTGTGCACATGCTGGATAATAAAGTCGACCGGACTTGTCTCCGCTATTATCCTATAGGGTCCTTGCCATCTTGGGGCTAGTTTTCGCTTTAACCCTAATGGGACTGTCACTTCCGTTACGAAAACTCGGTCTCCTATAGAAAATTTGTATGGCTTATTTCTTCGTTGTTGGTACACCTTTCTATCAATTGCGGCCTTTTCTGCATGCTCTTGAGCCAGCTTGTGTGCTAAGGCTAATCTTGCCCTCAGTTCGCTCGCATAATTTTCGCTAATATCGTAACTGGGTCGGTTGGGTTCAGTCACAACATCAAATGGATAAATTGGGTCTCTTCCGTACAACAAATAATATGGGGTTTCGTTTGTACTGGAATGAACGGTGGTGTTGTACGCAAAAAGGGC